AGGTTAAAAAAAAAAAAAAAAAAAAAAAAAGAAAGTATATAAATCAGTATTTGCATTTAATCTAAAAAGACTTCAAGTATTCAAGAAAGATGGTATCAGGTAGAAAGACAAAAATTAATAAGCTGAAAGAACATTAAGCTGTCTTCATTTTTAGCACAGCCCCAAAGCAGGGAAAAAGAGTTTTCATACCTGGTTTATAAGATGTTGATACAAATCACAGTCCAAACCTCCCATATTTGGCATGAATTATATATTAAACACACACTTCTCTGTTTCTATAGGCCTCAAATAAACCTTTGTGCCAAATATCAGCTTAGTGATATTTTTCATCTTATGAAAGATGGCAGGCTTTCAGACCCCTGGGCTCTCTCTGCTTTGAAGGAGTGTGTCACAAAGAATAGGTTCCAAGTAAAGACAAGCGGCACTCTAAAACCTCACTCCGTGCAAGGCAGCAGGACAGAAAGGCAGGTCAGGAAGGACCACTTACATACCAGCTGCAGCACAATGCTTAGCTGCGCAAGAACAACTCTGCTCTCACTGTCCGCACATGCAGTCACCTGGGAGCAGCCTCTGGATTCTTCTTCACAGCGCTCAAGTTAAATCTGAGCTACAGAGTTGAAACTAAAAAGACCTTATAAGATAAGCTAACATTTGCCAAGAAAGCAGTTTCTCACCACCTGGCCAGCATCTAGACCCTCTCACACGTGCAAATTTAAGTTCCCAGAACCTGGAACAAAAAAGCCCGCTCTGAGAAATAGACCCAGAGAAGCAGAAGGGAATAAGGGTCTCCTCCAGTTCTAAGAGTCTATCAACCCGTTTCTCCTCCTGGATTCAGGGAGGGACCTCCTCGTCTGCATGTTTACCAAGCAGAAAGCAGCTGTGATCTTTGGTTCTTTCCTCCTCACATCCAATCAATGACCAAGTCTGTCTTACAACCTTGACAATCTTTCCAATTCTGTCCCCACTGCCACCATCTTAGCACAAGCTGGTAAGACAGCCTTCCCGCAAAAGTACTCAGAACTGCCCTCCCCGGCTCCACACCAAGGGGCTCTCAGCCCACGGCTGCTCACCAGCTGAGCAGACCCCCCATGCGGCCTCCACGCTCTATCTCAGATTCTGGTGGATTCTACACACTTCTGACGGGAGGAAGGGCTCTTCCATTCAAGACATCGATGCCTTATAGGCAGTTGCTGACAATCAAAACACAGTAAGCACTCCTGAGAGGAAGACGGAAAGAGATCTCCGCCAGGAGAAGTAAAGGGAGGGGCAAACTGATTTATTCTGCCTCTCCTGACGTTCCCAGAGGGGCTGACGCTGCGAGAAGACTATTAACACTGGACCGAGGGAAGGCTCTTCTCGTGATCGACACAAGTCTTCATCAGTGGACACTTCTGGACGCACCATCTGGCTATTCATGGATAACAAACCTCTGAAATCACTGCCCACCAGATCAGACTTCTTTCAAATTACCCCAGGACCCCCAAAGCTCCAACTACTAAAAAGGGAGGCCTGGCCAAGGTAACACAGGGACCATCATCTCTCCTGTAGATTGCTACAGCCTGTTCTTGCTGCTTCCGGATTGGATCCTACCTCATCCATTCTCCTGATGGCAGCCAAAATAATCCTTCAAAAATGCAAATCTGACCATAGCACTCTCCGGCTTACAACTTTTCCAGGAGTGCCTGCCCTGCACCATCACACCTGGCCTACAAGACCATCATAGCCTGGCTGCGGAGCACCTTTTCAGCCTGAGCTACCGCCAATCCTCAAGCGCTAATGCTCGGCCACATGTGTTATCTTCTCCCTGATCTTAGCACACAATGTTCCCTTTACTTCCAAGATCCTTCTCCCATTCTGCACCCCACCTTCGTCATCCAGGAGATAGAACCAGCCTTCTGCTCTCCCTGGAAATCAATTCCTCTGGGAAGGTTTCTCTGAGTATCCTCCACTTTTCCCACCAGTTTCCAGCCCCATGATGGGTTCCTTACTTCTGTTATAGCATTCATCACACTGACTGGAAATTGTCTACTTTCTTGTTTTATTCCCTAATAATGAACTCCTTGAAGAAAGGGGCAGTACCCTATACACTGTTACACTGCCAACCTATAGCACTGTGTCTGCCACACAGTTGATACAATCACTTATTGATCAGATGAAGATAAAGATACATAAACTAACAGGAATATGGAAGCAGTACTTGTGAGACTCCGGGGAGAAAAGGAACAAATGACAATTTAGGAAAACGGAAAAGCTGCTGTTTGAATAGTCTTCATTTCACTATCAATCAAAAGAAACATCTCAAAGTACTTTCAACAATATATCAGGTTCCTGAAACCACAGAAAGTCAACATCAACAGAATACTTTTTTTTGAAACACACACATGGGTGAGGTATTTCAAAAACCCATCATCAATATAAAGAAGCTTCATAACTGGAGCTGACAGTGACTAGAGAGCTCACTGCCCTAAAGATCTGACCTTCAGCACCCCTCACGCTCCTCCCAAATCTCAGAAAAGGAGATGTTTGCTAACCGTTATCTAATGCCAACTTTGTACTATATGCTTTTCTGTTTAGGTAAAGGTAGGGAAGCTTCTGGCAAACGTAACAGAAGAATTCTTTAAGGAAGACAAAACGGCACACGATTGCAAACTGCATGTCATCACTGATCATGGCAATCTAAGATAGTTCCTTTTATATAAACTCATTTTTAAAAGACACAAACTACAAAGAGATGACTGGAAGAGAGAACCAGACTTTTATTTTAGGGGATTAGATCTCCTGATCACTAACAGCTGGAAGTTTAAGATTCTGGAATGCTTTGAAACAAAAAGCAAATGTAGATCTGAAGAATAAAGATTAATTTCTACTATTTTAATGGGATATGAAGTAGTTTCCCGTGCACAGTGGTTAAGCATTATTTTACCGGTTCCAGGAAGCACAGGGAATTGACAAGTGAGCCACTGTGTCTAATTTACACAGCCACATGCAGACCCAAAGTCGCTCGACACAGCCAGCTTAAAAATACAGTATCTTTTCTTGCCCTATTTTTATAACTCCTTTCTGTATCACTTACCGGAATGTAATAGATGCCCATCTTGGGGGTTTCATTGGCAGTAAGAAGCATTCCTAAAAATAAACACAATGAAAAAGGTAAACACATGGGGAAAAGAAAAGCTCCCTTTTCTACTTGTTTTACGTTTTGAAATGGATGAGGTGCTCAGAACACGGCGAATGGCAGAAGAGCCAGACCGGCAGCCAGGCACCCTCGGAGTCAGCTCGTGGCCTGGTCCCTGACCCTCCCAGACAGGACACCTTAAGTATCAGAAAGACCAGCTTCCCCATCTGCAAAACACTTAGGCTGTCTGTATTAGCTAAGTGACTGAGCAGTTCCCACCATGAAGTGCTCAGGTCTATACAAAGTTCGCCATCATTTTTAAGGGGGAAAGTTTTAAGCTTCAGACACATAGATAAAATGTAGTTTTGACGCACTATTTATTATAATAATAATAAGGAAGTCAAGAAGAAAGGTTTCTCTCTGTTAATCAGGAATCAAAGAACCAAGGTAAAGTATTTCCCACCAAATGGCACAGTAAAGTAGTTCCTAATGTTTGAATTAAACTTTACACCTTGATAGAAAACAAAATGGCTTACAGGGAATGCTATGTGTAGCTACACTAGAAAAGACCCATACAGAATCTAACAGCCTGGGACTTCCCTGGTGGCGCAGTGGTTAAGAATCCACCTGCCAATGCAGGGGACAGGGTTCGAGCCCTGGTCCAGGAAGATCCCACATGCCGCGGAGCAACTAAGCCCACGCACCCTAGAGCTTGCGCACTGCAACTACTGAGCCCAAGCGCCGCAACTACTGAAGCCTGTGCGCTCTAGTGCTCCTGTGCCCCAACTACTGAGCCCACGTGCTGCAACTACTGAAGCCCGTGTGCCTAGAGCCCGTGCTCCGCAACAAGAGAAGCCACCTCAACGAGAAACCCACGCACTGCAACAAAGAGTAGCCTCCGCTCGCTGCAACTAGAGAAAGCCCGCGCGCAGCAACAAAGACCCAACACAGCCAAAAATAAATAAATTAATTAATTTAAAAAATAAAGAATTTAGCATCTGCAGACCTGCTTTTCTCAAGACCACACTATTCACTGTGCACGGGACATGGCTCCCAGGGTGAGGCTGTGGATCAGGGCAGGGCTTCACAGCCACTTGGGAAGCATGTGAAAAGTAACTCATTTCGGGGCTCTCCCCCAGACACCGAGTCAGTACCCCTGATGTGCGTAGGGCCAAGCAAGCCGTACTTCTAAGATGCTCCCAGGCGATCCTAGGGGTGGCCAGGCTGGAGACCCTCTGCCAGATGCTGCCACTGTCCCCTGCCTCCTCACATTCAAAGGATCAAAGAAGAAAACATAATCTTTCTCTCGAAATTTGCTCTCTCTCCTGTGCTCCCAATCTCGGCTCCGAGTATCACTTCCTACTCATCTTAGTTCATATCTCATCTACCTTTTACCTGGTGGACAGAACCAGCTCTGGAAGCAGGGTCTGAGCAGGTCCCGACCACAAACAGCACCCAGCCACTCAGCAGGTCACTCCTGGGTCCGCACCACCTGGGCACCACCTGCTTCCCACCCCATTCCTCCCAGAGCTCCTCCGTGCACCGTGCTGTGCCCCCGCCCATCCTTCCTGCCCTTCTTACACTGTCCCCTCATGGGGATCACCTCACCTCCCAACTCCACCCAGCACCCCAGGCTCAATGCAGACAAAGATCTCCTCTCTGCTTCAGCTGAACTCTCTCTCTCTCCTGCCATCTGTACATACATAACAGAACTCTTCCTGCTTTGCCTCATATCCCTCCATCAAAATTATCTGTGTATGTCCATCCTCAGAATACAACCCTGCTTGAGAGTGGGAAGTGTTCTCATTTTCCAGAATTCTTCACAGATTTGCCTTGAAGGGATTGTTAAATCTTAAAAATCTGCCAGGTAATTTACTGAACAGCCTGCAACACAGAATATACGAAACCCATGGCTTTATGAGCCTGTGTATCATCATCAGGGAGCTCCAGCCTCCTCCAAATCCCTACACACGATTACCAATCACATAAAACAGCTAAAGCACACACTACATAGCACCTCACCTGCCACCAACCTATGGACTGCTACCAGTTTCTACTAATAGCTAGGCTGGCTGAGGCCTAAGTCACTGAGAGGGTCATTTTCTCAATCATCCACGCCACTTCCTGCTCTTAATTTTTCAAGTAAATACAATATCCAAGAATTGTCCCAACCAAGCCAAACCCTGTCTTAAGAAATAAAATGAGTTTAAAACCCTATAAAGCATAACCTAGATTCATCTCACAGAATGGCCCGTTGCTACATACTGCATACCTGAGTTGGGATAGAGGCAAACATCATTAATGTCATGTTCTGGCTCCAAGGAAGTAAATATTCTTCCCTAAAAGAACAAGCAAAAAGGAATTATTAAAATAGTTAAAGGAAGACAACTTTTGGCAATGTGATATACAGAAAATAACATGGACACATAACTCCACTACACTCTGCTGATGTGAAAAAATAAAATCACCTAACTGAAATCACAGAATTTAAGTTCAAAAAAATCTTAGAGAATTTGTTTTATCAATTTATCAAATCCTCTCATTTTAGAGAGGAAGAAACTGAGGCTTGGGGGGAGAGGTGACTTTCTTGGGAAAATGAGCATAAACTTTTAAAGATAATGTCTAAACAGGAAAGGGTAAAGTCTAAAATAAAGTTGTACATCAACTTTAAAAAATTCTCATAACCTGGAAAACACACCCTAGGTAAACTTGTCCTCAAAGAAACCAAAGATGAAGAGACGGTCAACAAGGCAGAATGAGGATGGTATCTGCCATACCTGCGTCACGAGGACTTGAGGGGGATCAAGTAAGATGATGAATATAAAATAACTTACAAAACAAAATCCTATAAATACATAAAGTGTTAGCTATTACATAGCAAAGGGTAAATTTTTTTTTTTAATGTGGGGGGAAATATACTACAGTTTTAAAAATTAAAAGAAGTAAAAGAGGGCTTCCCTGGTGGCGCAGTGCTTGAGAGTCCGCCTGCCGATGCAGGAGACGCGGGTTCGTGCCCCGTTTCGGGAAGATCCCACATGCCGCGGAGCGGCTGGGCCCGTGAGCCATGGCCACTGAGCCTGCGCGTCCGGAGCCTGTGCTCCGCAAATGGGAGAGGCCACAACAGTGAGAGGCCCGCATAACGCAAGAAAAAAAAAAAAAAAAAGAAGTAAAAGAAAAAAGACAGAAAGTAAGTAGACGGGAGTGGAAAAAGGTGATGAGAAAGATAAACCAGGAAAGCAAGTCAAGCAGAACCAAGTAGTTTGGGTGCTGGTGAAGAGGACGTATTTAGTCATTACAGCAACACCCAAATAAAACTTACTGTAGCGGCTACAACGTGATTTCAAGAACTGCTGTTGAAAATGTCTGACAGTGCTTGCATTTATTAACCCATTATTACAGGCTCCACGGCAAAGTGGGGGCAGTAGTTAAAAAACTAATTTTGCACCCAGTGAAAAACAGCAGCCAGGTTCTAATTCAAGACAGACAATGGAACTCGCACGGCTACCTCCCTCTCATCTCAAGTGCCCACTGAAACAAAATGGAAAGAGGGAAGGAAAAAGGAAGGTGAAATGGGAATAATAATAGCATGGAACAAAAAAGAAAAGGGGCCACAGTTCATAGAAATCCATGTTGGGGAAAACTATGCAGCAGTTAGAGGGCCTGGGAGGATGCATCCAGACTGGTAAGTTTACCATTAGGGAGGACGGAGGCCAGGCCAAGGGAAACTTCTCATTCACCAGTATGCTATGACCTTCCAAAAAGAAAATGCCTGCATTTGTAGTATTAAAAAGAAATACTGTTTCAAAGTAAACTAGTTTGGATTATCAGAAAAGAGCAGAGAAAATTCCAGCCTAAGACACCACGTATCTTCCTAAGAAAGCCCTCAAAACCCTCCAACTCAAAGCAGCATAGTCGGTTCCCGGGCAATCGTCAGGGCAGTTCTTCCAGGAATTGAGGAAAGCCAGAAGCCCTTCCTCTTCTCCCTACCAGAGTCTCAGGAGCTGCAAAGGTAACAGGGCTTGAGAGACGGGACACACCCCAAGGATAACTCTGAACCTCCACAGCACATCCAGAGAAAAAAAGAAAGGGAGCTAAGTAAGGTCAATACTTTGAGAGTTGACAAAATGAAAATGAAAAACAAAAGTAACAAAAGTAATGGTCCAAGCAGGCAGGGATTCTGATCAGTAGCTGAACCATGACGGAGCTGCTGGTGGCATCTCTGCCCTAAACTCGGGCAGCCCTCACAGGAAAGACTGACGCTTGCCCTCCGGTAACTAATGCTGAGGCTGCTGGGCCCTCCACCAACTTCATCTCAAAAATGAATTTTTTTTTTTAAAGTAACACTTTTTGACTAAAGATGCTAAGTTTGAAACCAATAAACGCAAAGACTCTTAAAAGCAACTGCTACACTGAATGAATTTTTTCTCAGTTGATGAACTAATCTTTTACTACTCTCTCAAAATACTTAGGTTTTAAAATGAAAAAGCAAAAACAGAAAGCAGAATAAAACCAGCAACACAGGGTTTTGTTACCTTTTAAATGACACTCAGAAGGGCAGAGAACATCAAATATTCTGACGAAAATATTGTTTTTAAGAAAAATACTATAGGAAATTATTGTGAAGGTATCATATCTAAAATCCAATTGTTTGACATGGGGAAAGGGTATGAAATTGAGATGTATAATAATACTGATACGGAAAGATTAGTAGTAGCTCATAAAAACCTTCCAAGGGTTGTAAGACAGCCTCAAAATCTAGGGAGTTTCTCATGGATCAATCTTTTTTTTAAACGATGATTTACTCTCTACCTAACTGAACATGTAAAAATGCATGCCCGTTCTAGCAAATGAGGAAAACTTCTTAACAGGAAGAAAACAATCTTGACTACTTTGAATATGAATATTATCTATCCCGAAGTAACTGACTTCCAATGAAGTGCCCAAACGGATGCTTAGTATTGATATTTCTTTCTCAAGAACCCACATTGCTCAAAAAAGGCAACAGAAAGAAAAGAAACATTACATGGAAAATAGGCAAATAAGTAAGTACAACAAAAAATACGTACTGAGTTCTTATTCCACATTTTGATAATTCGAGAGTCAGCAGACAAAATCAAATCTAATGAATCCTGGAAATGAACTGATTTAATGGGCAGCCCATATTGGTGATCCTTAACTAGCAATGGCTTATCAGACCGAAGATCATACAATAAAACCTAAAAAGAAAAAAAGTTATTTCTGTTTAAATGAACTAAATATTTTATCTTGAAACTTTTAAAACTTAGAATAACGGCTGCCATTTGCTTCATTACCTTTTTTATCAACACAATGAACACCCCTCACTCAGGGTACAAAGATTCTAAAGTCAGCCAGCAAAAAATACTCCAGAAAAATCTCTTAAATTACCCTTCCAGTATATGGTTTTACGAATTCAACCCTGAGAGTAGTTTTTAGGCACACTAAGATTGAGAACTACTTAGCTATATTAAGGAAGGAACCAAAAGGAAAGTCCACAAGAATTTGTGTCATTTATGAATTCAACAAATATATACACTGAGGGCCTACTGTGTACCAGGCACTGTCACAGCGGCTGACAGAAACAAGAACAAGAAGCATAATGAAGACAGCCCTGGTAGATTCAAGACAGATGGTGGTTGCAGGGTTATGACTTTCAGGGCGAGGGGGGTCTCTTCTGAGCCCTGTCTTGATAGGCAAGGGGCCTGGTGAAGCTGGATCTCAGTCCCAGGTGACAAATGACAGAGGCAGTAACTCTACTGGAAGCAGGGCTCACACCTGTGCTGAGGTCAGAACAGACTTACAGGTGTGTGGGCTCTGCCTTGAAGGAAAGAGAGAAAAGATGAAATTAAATCCCTGAAGCTATTTCATTTGTACTCCTCAGACTAGCGTTTGCTGAGGTATGTCCCACTGATCACACACTGCACCGGATGTGGGTGATAGCGCTGGGTGAAAAAAAAGGTTCCTTGGGCAAATACATTTTGGAAATACTTACTCAACACATTTTTTGTCTGCAGGAATTCTCCGAGCTTTCAATATATATTTAAATGCACTATAAACCTCAAAAAGTAGAAATCTGGAGAATTCCAAACTTGTATGACCACGGAACTCTACTCCACACTCTCTAGAAAATGCTGTTCTAAACCACAGTCAGGACACCTGAGGCATACCCCACTGCAGCTTCAGCTCAAGAGCCTCTCACACCAGCCATTCAGGCCAGAACCAGAATTTCTCAAAGTATTAAAGGAACACAGCATTCTGAGTACCCTCTCCACTCTGTCCAAAACAATAATGCTTCATTTTCTGTTCCCACAGTGAACAGACATGTGGATGTTTCCCATGATACATACACGCCCCTGAAGTAGAAACTGAAGTGTGAAGTTTCCAACTTAAACATATTTACCTGCCCTGTGGATGTTCCAACTGCCATGGTCAAGGCACCATTAAATTTCAAAGCAGAGATCGTTGGTAAACTGTTTATCCTGAAAGGCAAAACATTTGTATTTCGTGCATATCTCCTTCCAAATAACAAATTCATTATTAATCTTCACTTCAATTCTAATGGGGACAATCACATTTCTTAATCTTCTGTTTAAAAGGTAACTGTAGCCAAACTTTCTTAATCAAAATGAAAAATAACCTTTATTTTGATGAAAATCAAAATAATGAAATGAAATGACGAAAATCAAAATAATAAATGAAATGAATGAATGGAAAAGATTACTTATAAATGTAATCTACCTTTAAAAATCTGTAGATTATGTTCTTTAAAAACTCTAAGAAATATTTTCAAAGTAGCTACAAGCAAAAAAAGGTTTCTGAAAATATAAAACCAATTGAAAAAGATCAGTATGACAGTATCTTTCATTTTGATTAAGCCAGGATAAGGTATTTACAGAATCATGCCCTTTTTGCTTAAGAGAAAACAGTTTTATATTCGGGCATGGGTATACCCATTTTTTAATTTTTTTTTTTGGCAGTACACGGGCCTCTCACTGTTGTGGCCTCTCCCGTTGTGGAGCACAGGCTCCGGACACGCAGGCTCAGCGGCCATGGCTCACGGGCCCAGCCGCTCCGCGGCATGTGGGATCTTCCCGGACCGGGGCACGAACCCATGTCCCCTGCATCGGCAGGTGGACTCTCAACCACTGCGCCACCAGGGAAGCCCCCCATTTTCATTTTTAAAGTTAGTGATGTCAAGCTAAAATAAAGACTAGTCCCCAAATGGGGACCCAGAACCTGTAAAAGTAACAAAATGATGGATGTTTATGGCTCTGAATCTGGAGTATGCTTCTCACTCAGTAACCAAGAATAACGCTCTGAGGGGGAAAGGGTCCTAGAAGATGAGTCAGAAGCAGGCATTCAATACCTATTGTCTCCACGACCTTGGACCAGGACCTTCAGTCCAGGCTGCTGACTCTTGGCATCCTCAGGTCTCTTATGCCACCTAAAGCCTCAGCCTGCAACTACACTGAAGCATCCACGGGAACCTGGAGGTCTCTCGTCTGCATCACTTTCAGTCATCTACTCTTCAAAATGAACTCTGGAATCATTTCTCAGTGCGATGACATTATTTTTCCTCATTTATTCAAACTCTTCTTTTTAAAATTTATTTTATTTGTTTATTTTTGGCTGTGTTGGGTCTTCATTGTTGCACGCAGGCTTTCTCTAGTTGCGGCTAGCTGGGGCTACTCTTCATTGCGGTGTGCAGGCTTCTCACTGCAGTGGCTTCTCTTGTTGTGGAGCACGGGTTCTAGGCACGCGGGCTTCAGTACTTGTGGCTCACGGGCTCAGAAGTTGTGGCTCGCAGGCTCTAGAGCACAGGCTCAGTAGTTGTGGTGCACGGCCTGAGTTGCTCCGCTGCATGTGGCATCTTCCTGGAACAGGGCTCAAACCCGTGTGCCCTGCATTGGCAGGCGGATTCTTAACCACTGTGCCACCAGGGAAGCCCTATTCAAACTTTTTAGTTTCTTAATAAAATTTTGTCCCTTTCTTCAGATAGTCCCTTATTAAGCTTATCCCTCAGTATTTTACAATTTTTTTTGTTGTAAATTATTTTGTTATAAATGAGAACTGCTTTTCATTGTATCTTTCTAACTGGATATTGCTGATAAACATCAACGCCACTGATTTTGTACATTTATTTTGTAACCAATTTACTTAACTCTCTTATTAGTGCTTATAGTTTTTCAGTTAGCTCTACTGGGTTTCTTAGGCAGACAGTCACATCACCTGAAAAGAACAAAAGCCTGTCCTCCGCTAGCCAAAATTTAACACATATTTCTTTCTCTGACTGTATTGGCTCCACCTTCTAGAACTCTACCTATGTCAAATAACAGAGGTGACGGCTTATAATGTTTGTGTAGGAAAAAAATAAAGCTAAGCATAAAAAAATTAATAAGTAAAATCACCTGGGGCTTCCCTGGTGGCACAGTGGTTGAGAGTCCGCCTGCCGATGCAGGGGACATGGGTTCGTGCCCCGGTCCGGGAAGATCCCACATGCCACGGAGCGGCTGGGCCCGTGAGCCATGGCCACTAAGCCTGCACGTCCAGAGCCTGTGCTCCGCAATGGGAGAGGCCACAGTGGTGAGAGGCAAAAAAAAAAAAAAAAAAAAAAATCACCTGAAGCTGAATCAGCAGGCAGAGCTACTTTTAACACTTTGTAATATATCCAGATTTCATCCCTATGACTGTACACTTAAGTTCATTTTTTTTCTTATGAAAATGTGATAAAACTCTATAGGGAACTGTATGATTTACTTTTCCACTTAACAGCATA